TCTTGAAGACAATACAAATAAATATAAACACTACTATGATGAAAAAGAATAACACTTATCAGCAATGGAAGCCAAAAGAACACGACTATAATTGAGGGGTCATTCGCAGGCTAAAATCAGGTGGGGCGGCCCGAGTCCTCCCACTGTTTCATGCAAAATAAATAAATAAATAAAATTTTAAAAAAAATGATATTATGAGTTGACATTAAGGTGTCCATTGAGGATGTAACAAGTAATTAAATTCGGGCTCTTCCTAGGCATGGGGCGGCCAATGGCATCAACTCAACATGTGATTGTCCTTTTTTTAAATAAAATATTTTAATTACCGAATCAATGATCCTAAGGTCATCAAATTTAAATGAAAAATATTAAAGATTTTAAAAATTTTATCAAATTTTTTAATATTACTCAATTTGAATATCTGAATAAAAAATGTTACGTTCAAGATTTTTTTTTTTGTTATCATATATATTTATTGTAATTAGGGGTGTGAATAATACCGCCGAAACCGTCGAAACCGCCAAAATCGCACCGAACCGTACCACCAAGGCAAATTCGTTATTATTTGTCAATCGAACCGTCGGTTTTTAGTAAAAAAAATGACAAATTCTAGTGACACTTTTATCAATCCGCCGGTTTCTATTTTTCTTCCAAACCGCACCGACCCGCACTGCTATTAAATCATATTTTATAAGATTCTAAAAATTCTTTTTTACTTAAGTTTGCTTGTTGTTCTATACCTTAGAATATAGTATTACATTACTACTCGAGGGGAATTTTATGTATTGTATTTGATCATTGTAACTTCCACAGATGCTTGTAATGAACTGATGGCATAGTCGTTGATATTATCATGCTGTTGCTACACTTGCTGCATCAGAAGAAAGTTTCGCAAGATTCTTAACATCACGATATCTCTCGTCTTTTTTTTACTATTTGATTTATGTTTTGTAATTTGAATTATATTTTTTATAAACCGCCAATCCGCCCGAACCGCCAAGGCAAATGCGCCATTATTTGCCAACCGAACCGCCGATTTTTGATAAGAAAAATGACAAATTCTAGTGACACTTTTATCAATCCGCCACCCGCCATACGGTTTCTATTTTTCTCTCAAACCTCACTGACCCGCACCGCGCACACCCCTCACGCCACTAGAGTTCTCTTTAGAGTTCAAAATTTAGAACTCTCTATTATTGTTGGTTATCCAAAATACCCCTAATAATAATAGGGTGAAGCGCACATTAATGTTCACATTGTTAGTGTGAATATTCCATAATACGAACATTTACACTATCAAATTTATTTAATGTAAATGTTCACCTCACCAAGTTGTCAAGGGTTTTAAAAATATTTGTAAAGTTAAAATTGTCCATAAAATATCATATATATGAGAATTAAAATTTGGTAGATCAAATGTTCAAAATAATAAGACTTATTGAAATAAAAAAAATATCTTATAAATTAATTAGGATATAAATATTTTTTAAAAAAATTCTAATAAATTCCCATTAAGTCTATTTTTTATTTGTCTACTAAATTGATTCTATAATAATAAACAAATAAGTAAGGTTAGAATATCTCAAATGAAATATTATACACATAAGACTCCAAAGCATACGTTTAATCCATTACGCGTGTTACTTGACGAATTGATGCCTTCTTGTATACTTCGATGAATAGGTTACACCAGTCGACTAAGCGTTGTTGTGCATACCCAACTAGTTGGTCCTATTCTCTTTCTTTTTGTTGAATGTTTCATTTACACCGTAAAAGATTTTTATAATTTCAAAAATATTTGTCCCACTTTTCGCTTATTTTATAGTTGCGCCTTTTTTTATTTCTCTTCTTCCTCTTGAAAAATAATAAAAAATAAATAGTGAGTGGTGAAGTTAGACCAGGACGGAAACGCTAGTAATTATAAAAGACTTTGACTCCCAGTCTTCAAAATAAAATCATGTAGATGACTTGACTCCCCAATCTTCAAACACCACACACTAATATATCAACAGAAAATGTATTTGACAGAAACCATTAATGAAAACGGAAAACCACTGGATATTTGAGCGTCTTTGCAGAAAAAGTTTTGTATACTAATAAGGTACCGCATGATACTTTCTACTAATTATAAATAAATATATCTTTTAATATTTCTCAAACATCCAATAATATAACGTATATTCCACTACCTTTCATCAATCATAAGATATCACATGGATATATCCTATTCACATGCAAAAATCACTCGTCTTTATGTCATGCCATCTTGAATTTTGAAAAACTTTTCTCAATATTTTTGTATTTTTGTGTGGTATTATTTTTAACTCATATTTTATTTGTATCATGTTAATGAGTAATATCAAAAAAAACAAAAAAACAAAACAAAACAAAACAAAATGTAAACTCTAAAAAATACCAACACTGACTCTACTCTTTTATTTTTTCATGTTATTGCCTTGTATCATTTGAGTCGTGAGAAATAATAAGAGAGGGAGGAGTGAAAAAAGGGGCAATTTTGTAAAATTGTTTGGAGATTCCTTCTCTTTGTAATACTTATGCAACTGTGGAATTGTTCACATAAACAACACAGAGAATCTGATTAGTCCAAAATAATGGACTTCATATTAAAAAAAGTGTACAGATTCTATCTAAAATTGTGGACTCCACTTTTTATATTAATAAATATTGGTGTTTTATTCATACACTTTTGAAGTGTGTCAACAAAATTGAGAAACAAATCAATTAAATAAAAAAAAAAATTTACTAATAGAATTTACTTTACCAGAAGGACAAATAGAAAACTTATGATTAAGTCGAGTGTGTAATACAGATTTGTTGCCGCACAAGTACTTACAGATTGAAGACATCTATCTCCTAAGATATAATGATCAAACATAGGATTGAAGCAACAATGTAATCAATTAATGAACAAGAACCTGTGTTTTGTTACTCTAAAACTAATATGAAGCACTACAACAAAATGTAGTTTTGGCAACACGGCAAAATTTGTTGCCAAAAGGAGAAATCGTCGGCGAAGAGTTTTGCCAACATATAGAGCTTCGCCGGGAACTTGTTGGGAAAAGTGAGTCGGAAAAAACTTTTATCGACAAACATATCATTGCATTGGCAAAAGTAGCACCTTTAGCAACTACATCTTAGTCAGCAAAAGCCTTCATTCATCGTCACTAATTTACCTTTTCATCTATAAAAATAGTTCAAATATGATGATTGTTTGGCACTTTTGCTAACACAATATTGCATTGGTAAAAAGATAGACTTTCGTCGACACAATATGAGTCGACAAAAGTAGGCTTATGGTGACGAACAAGTACGTCAGCAAAAAATCTTAAGTTTTTTTTTATAAAAAAAATAGATATTTGTGACAGTCAAAAAGCCATCACAAATAACTAAATAATTTTTTGAAAAGAAATATATATTTAATTTTCTACTATTCAACAAATCCATATATCCAAAATATTAAAAAAAAATACATACATTTCATTAATTCAAATATACAACCATCGTTCTACAAACAATATGTTTAATCAAAAAATACATTTCATCAATAAAAACAATCTTCTCTGCTCAATAATCATTAAGCTCTCAAGCATCAGATTTCTTCAAATAATTGATACCGTCTTTTTAATCTCCTCATTATCGGCAAGCACTTTAGAAGTCATCAACAGCTAGCACTTTAGAAGTAACTTATGCACTCAAATTAAATATCTTGAAAACCAAAAAGTTTAAAATCTGGTTGATGATGTTGTTCTAGAAAATTTACTCAAATAAATGTCCTAGAAACAGAGCCACATCTAGCAGTATAATATTTATGTTTGAGTCATCAAATCATATGCTGAAATAGTGAAAAAGTCTAGTCAACTTGTGCATAGAATTAGGTGTAATCCACAAATTAAGATGGACAAGAATAAACAAATACAGGTTTTAAAGTTTTTTTACTTGGGGTAAGATGTAAAAAATGCACTTTGAGAACAGAGAATAAGGAACTTTTAAAATAATGCACTTTAGTTAGAAAACAGGGATCAGCAACTCCATCTCATTCAATAGCAAATATTTAAGTTCAAAATTTTACCTCTGTAAATGTACAAGTAAATAAGATGACCACTTCACTAAAAAAAATAAAATAAAACTAATACAAAAATATCAAAAAAACACCTACTTTTGCAGACTGAGAATCATTTTAATCTCCTTTTTCCACAATGCCGGAACTTTTCAAGGCCTGATTCAGATCATGATTCCCCGACATTTCACTAATCATAATCTTTAATGAAAAATCAATATTAAGATGCGCAAAGCACAAAAAACTGCACTACACAAAATAAAAATTGTCAGTTCATTGGAATTCAATAGTGAACCCCCGCATTCAACCCTCTCACTTGCATTCTAATAAGTAAAGGAACAAAATATCAAAATAAAGGAGCAGCCACTGTGGATATCCCTAGACCCTGCTAGATACCCAAACAAAGAGAAGTCATTAGTGGATAAATTAACACAGACTCAATAAAATTAGTAATTTAGTGAATTAAGTACAATATAACGCATAATTTCAAAACAGTTTAAGATACCTGAACAAATACATACATTGAAGGTACACATATACCTATTATATACAAGTGTCTACACATCAAAACCCAAACACTTCGCTAGGTTTTGTGAAGCTATAAGCTGATGATGGTGGCAAGAATGATAATTTTACCACTAGTTTATGGTGCTGGTACAACAATATGCTTCCATACAACAAAGTCAAAAGCCAAACCCTAAGAGAAGAATGACAGAGTAAGTGGTGTATCTACACCTTCGTACACACATAAAAAAAATAAATAAATAAATAAAATCTCATTCTGCAAATTTAAAGGAAAAAATAAAAATGATTGGAAAAAAAAAAAAAAAACCCCAAAGTATCACAATCACAACCAATATACGAATAAAAGGAGAGAAAACCCAATAACACTAAAATAAAATTTAAAAAAAAAAATGAAATACAATCAAGAATCTGATTATGAAATTAAGGAGGAGAAGCAAGAGAAAAGTACCGAGATTGACAATAGAGAGGCAGTGACATCACGAAATAAACAACCTGACCGATCATAGGCGGCAACGACGATGCCAAGGACGCTCGATCATTTTGGCAGCTTCAGATTGATTATTCTGAAATTGAATTAAAAAAGAACAAGAAAAGAGAGAAAGTGAGAGAGTGGAGGACTTAACTTTTGGTGGCGGCGGTGACGAGCGGTGACAATGGGTAGTGGCGATCAACGGGTGGAGAAGGATTGGAAAGAGAGATGGAGACATTAGAGAGAAAGCGAGATGCAACGCAATTAGAGAGAGGGTGAAATGCTAGGGCAGAAAACGAAAGGGGAACAAAACTGAAAAGCAACGTGTGTGGGGGTATATCCATTATCAGCAATTATTCATCTCACTAAAAACATCATCACTAATAGTATTAATGTATTTAAAAAAAAAATACAATTTCAAAATTAAAACATCACATCATTATTGACGAGACCCACTACCACCTAATTAGTATGAACACTAATTAGTACTTCCAAACATTTTTCATCCATTATTTGCTTTTGCCTTATTTCAACCGCGCAAAAAAACAAAAATGTTTATTCAATTGGTTTCAAATAGAACATGAATCAACCTTATAAATTAATAAATATAATTTACACATTTTAAATTTTAAATATTTTTTAAAAAAAGTCTCCACATTTTAAATTTTGAATAATATATTTTTTCATACACCAAGAAAAGTGTTTATAATTTAATTTATAATGTAAATAAATCCCAATCAAATATTTTAAATTCTAATTACATTTTAAACAAACTTTTTCATACATATCGGTATGATGTTGTACTAATGTTATTCATTTTTAACATAAAATACAAATATATAATTAAATTAAATATAAATTTAAGAAATAAGAGAGGAACAAATGAAGGGAAATTGGGAATTAATTAAATACTAAGGGATTGTTTGTATTAGAAAATGACTATGAATTATTTTTCACCTCCGTTAGTAAACAATAATTAAATCATTTTATATTATCTTAACCATACATAATATCCCACTGCCTCAATTCCATTCCGTATCACATGATATAATTTATTTCTCATAATTTCAATAACATTTTTTTTTGGGAATAAAAGAATATGTGAAACATCATGGTTTAACTTGCAAACATTCTATCCATCCAAAAATAAAAAATATAAAAAATTTGAAAACATTTGGCGACGAATAAGGGGATTTTTTTAAGGTCCCTGATATTAAGATTTTATAGCATAAAAGACATCTAATATTTTCATAATATCTAAGATTCCTCAAATCGATCTAGAGAAAATTCAATCCAAACCAGAGATTTTCTTTGTTCCAAACTAGAGAAATTCAATCAAAATCAGAGAAATTCAATCCAACTCAAAGAATTTCTCTGGTCCAAACCAGAGAAATTCAATCAAAATCATAGAAAATTTAATCTAAATTAGAGAAATTCTCAGGTCCAAACTAGAGAAAATTCAATCCAAACCAAATCAGAGAAATTCAATCCAATTTCACTGAGTGTACCAAACAAACAAATTTCAATGAGTTACAATTGAAAAGAAAACAAGTTTCATAGAAGTTCAAATAATCAATTCAGAACTCGAATTATACAGAGCAATTCGAAAAATTCAAACAAAAGCTGAATTGGAGACCACACAAGTCATTTTAGGAATAATACGAATCACAAATTTTCAAAGAGTCAAAAAAAAAATACATATAGATAATGTAGAGAGAGAAAGAGACTTTGCGAGAGAGACTTTGAGAGAGAGAAAGAGATAGATTGTTAGAGAGATCGGTGTCGTCTAGTCGTGCCGTTGTCTGCAACTCGACCATCGGCGTTGAATTCAGCTCAGATCGTGGTGGTCCGACTCAGATCGTGGTGGTTCGTAGCTCAGGTCGCGGTGGTCCGGCTCAGATCTTGGTATTCCGGCAACAACGTGGTAGAGACAAAGGCGAAGGTGAAGCCTGTGGTGTCAGAGATGAAGACCGGGAGAGGAGAAATGAGCAGAGAGAGAGAGGAATGTGCACAAAGAGAGATGGTTTGGCTTGGATAGTATGAAGATTGAAGAGAGAGAGAGAGTCAAATTTCTTTGATCTGATATATGGGTGTGGGGTTGAGGGACCTTAGATATTATAAAATAATATTATAGATCTCTTACATTACTAAAAATGGGAGAAGGACCTTAGACTAGTTTTCCATGACGAATATGACTTTGTTGCTAAAAAATTAAACTCATTGCTGACATGGGAGAGATGTCGCCAAAAGCGTCAACTTATAGCAATGCATGTTTGCGTTGCCAAAAGTAAATTTACATCGTTAAAAATTTTCCTTTTTGGAGCAAACATTTGTCCTAACATATGTTTTGACTCTTTAACGATGAATTGTGAATCACGTCACTAAAAGGTTAACTTTTAACGACGATCTGTGAATCACGTCGCTAAAAAGATAACTTTTACCGACAAACTTGAGGTCTATGTTGCTAAAAGTGTGCTTTTGGCTACGAAAATTTGAAGTTGTTGCCAAAAGTTGTAGTCAAAAATGCAATTTCTTGTAGTGAAGAATGATGTAAAGAAGAAGCAAAAACGGGAATGATTAAATAAATTGTACTGTTGGGAGGATTTGTATTTATAGGCATGGTGGTGGCTGTTCGGAAAGGTAGGAAACCCTCCGAGCAGGTGCAAGTTCAAATTGCTGAAGAGGAAGAGAGGTGACCGACGAGAGGAGACACACTTGTTGGGTTTGAATTTGAAAATTCAAATTTGAAAATTTTCCCGCAAAATTTTAAAACAAATTTTTTTTTGAAAATTTAAAATTTCTTGCAAAAGTTTGAGAAATATTGAAACGAATTTTGTTTAAAAATTAAAGGAAACCCACACTTGTGCTCAGCCCAGCCGGTGGCGGCACGTGCGTGTGGCGTTGAGTTCAAAGCTTGCTTGGTCCACAACTCCCCCCTCCACAAACTTGGGTGCCCTTTGGAGCCCATCCTAAGTTGTTGGCACTAAAAATTATTTTCTCTGTCAAATAAACATAACAAAATACAGACAGCTGATCCAGTGAATGCTAGGGGTGAAGACCACCAGTTTATAGTGGGATGTGGGTCCTAGAATGCAGAACAGGAGACAAGGGTAAAACAGCTGAAGAAGCAGAGGTGACAGAAGCAAATTTTTTGTCGATTCATCTGATAGTGTAGTAGAATGTGGCCAAACATGGCCCAGGAGTCAAGCCATGAAGTTAGGCCAGTAAGTGATGCAGGGCACGCGGTTTGTTTGCAAGAGAAAAAGGAGGTTGTAGCAAAGAGGCAGTTGCAAGTGGTTATGGAGATCATGGGCAGTTGTGCAAGAAGTGAGAGCAACTTACTCCATGGTGGGACATGTGTTAGCAGAGAAGTAGCAGGGCTTGTAGCATAAAACTTGAAAATTTGAAAGAGAATGGATCTTCAACAAAATTCACAACCCATGTGGAAGTAGGAGTAACATAACTTAATTAGCAGTAGTTTTTTGTACTTAGGAGTATTTTGTTTGTAATCAGCCTTTGTGGCTAAGTTTTTCTCTGTCGATTGTTATGCACACTGAACTTGTAATTTAATTTTTGTAATTAAGTTGCAAGTTTACTTGTTTTTCAATCACATTTTAGTTTATTTACACTTGTTTCTTCACATTACAATCTCCAAAGAAGTCCTTGAAACTGTCATGGCATATGACACTGTAGACACTCCATTTTTGACTGCCTTCAAAACTTAGACGTCATCGTTTGAACACTCGATGATTTTGTATGCTTGTGTTCGTTTTGAGTGCCCGAAGATCATGACCGAGTGCCTCGTCCTTGAGCCTTTGAACCTTATATGTTTTGTGCTTAGTTGTGGACCAAGAGCTTGTTGTTTCACATCTGGAGGAGAGGGTGGCCTATCGGCCAGCCCCATAGCCTATCGGCCATGACTTGTGCCTGCCGGCCATCAGTGGTGGCCGGTTAGCTACTAGTGGTGGCTGGCGGCCATTTTTCTCCTTTTTCAGATATTTGTTTGCCAGTTGTGCCAGTTGTTGTTCACTGAAGTGCATCTCCATACACGTGTATGGTAGGATGATTTCAAGCTTCAATCTTCGTTTTCTATATGTAGGGGGAGTTCTCCCCTATTTGGAGGGGTTAGAAAATTTGGATAAAAATTTCTCTCTCTCTCTCTCTCTAGAATTCTCTCTCTCTTCTTATTTAGTGTCTTAAAGCCTAGTCTCTCTACACCTTTGTACATCAACCCTTAACCAAACTTGACCACCTTGGAGCTGAGGTCCCTTGGAGCTTAGTTTGAGCTTTGGAAGGAGGTTTGAGCCTAAAATTGTTGTTGTTTTGTGCTGTGCTTCAAAGGTAGTGAACTTACCTCATTTACGCTTATTGTGCACCCTTGTTTTACCATCCTTTTGTATTGTTTTTTAGCTGATTTTTAACTACAAAAAATTCTATTTTTTTGAGACTTAACATGATGGTTTGAGGTTATTTTGTGCTAAGGGGTGATTCTCCCTTCTCGTTGCATATTGTGTAGACTTTTGCACCATCTTTTAGCATATACAAATTGAACCTTTTGGGCCTTTAAACCACTAAAATTCAGAGTTGTTTCAGTGCAAAAACTTTGTTTTAAAGTCCAAAATTGGAGGGGGTAGCCTCCCCTCCTTGTGTCTTGTTTGCATGCCTAGATAACTTAACATGTGAGCATGTTTTTCTAGCATTTTGAACCTTAATCTCAGCATGTTTTTGCTACTTTGTTGACTGGTTTTAGCTCTGTTTTGAGCTGGTTTAGTCGTTTGAGGCTTGTATTGTGTGGTTGTAGTGTAAAGAGGCTTCACTTGCTTAATGCTTTAGGCTTTTAGATATGAATTGCATGAGTTGCTCGCATGTTTTACTATCACTTTGCACTCAATTTCAACATTGAAATCTCTGCAATCTCCCTTTATTCTTCACTCTTTCATTTATTTTGAAAGTGGCTTTGAGCCCCTTGTAGGCTTGAGTATGAAATGGAGACATTCATGCTTAATGGTTTAATTCCTTTGGGAGTTCATTATCAATAGCATGAAGTCTCTTTCATGCTCAAGACACTTATGGTTTAAGCCTACTTTCAATTAGAGGACAGTTACCTTTTGGACTAATCAATTAAAGAATGGATGGGTAAGCTAAAATGAGTAAATAAAAAAATGAACAAGTAAAAGAGGCAAATGTGTTCAGATCGGAAGTTAATTCGAACACGAGGAAAATGGAACGTTTCATACTTAAAGTGATGAAACGTGCCACTTTCCTTGGTCTCCATCACCCTTGGTCATACATGATAGGGCCTTGGTTTTGTTGAGTCT